GAGCACTTTGAGCTACTTTTGGTTTCTGAATGGTTCGTTGGAGATGAATCTCACAGGGACTTTCCTGCCTGGGCTGGCTTCGAACCATGATCCTCGGATCTCAGCCTCCTGAGTAGCTAGGATGACAGGTGTGAGCCACTAGTACATCTTCACTACTCAAGAGGCTGAGATCTGAAGATCGTGGTTTGAAGCCAGCCTGAGCAGGAAAGCTGGTGAGTCTTTATCTCCAATGAAGTACCAAAAAAAAAATGCCAGAGGTGGAGTTGTGGCTCAAGTGGTAGAGTGCCAGCTTTGAGCAAAAGAAGCTCAGGGACAGTGCCCAGGCCCTGAGTTCAAGCCCCAGGAGTGGGGAAAGACACAGAGATAGAGAGACAGAGAGAGACAGAGAGGGAGAGAGGCTTGCAGACTTTCCTGCCCAGTCTGACTTCGAACCCATGATCTTCTGATTTCAACCTTCTGAATAAGTAAGGATGACAGGCACAAGCCAGAGATGCTCCACTGGATCTAGGGTTTGCTCTTTGGGGCTTTTTTGGCCTTGTGCTGCGTGACTGTCCTCAGGCTCGCTGGTGAGACATGAGCACACACTCACCCCCAGAGGGCAATGTGGGGTAATGAAGGAGGCTGAGTCATTCACACCAGGGCTGGAGAGGCCACCGTTGACAAGAGGCCTCCTCTCCCCGAGTTTCCAGTTCCTCATCTGTCAAGTGATGCGGTAGATTTGGGGCATCTCTCATTATTATTACGATTATTATTATTATTATTGTTGTTGCTATTGTATATTTTTTGGTCAGTTGTAGGGCTTGAACTCTGGGCGCTGTCCCTCAGCTCTTCAGCTCAAGGCGAGCGCTCTACCACTTGAGCCACAGCGCCACTTCTGGTTTTCTAGCAGTTTATTGGAGATAAGAGTCTCACAGACTTTCCTGCCCAGGCGGGCTTTGAACCACGATCCTCAGATCTCAGCCTCCTGAGTAGCTAGGATGACAGGCGTGAGCCACACCAGTGCCCGGCTCATCTCTCCTTTAACTCTACCTAATCACACCTGGTTTGATGAACATTCATCAACAGGAAGGAAACTCAACTGTCTGTCTGTTTTGAATTTCTGGTGCAGAGGTGTGGTCCAGGCAATTCTTAGATCATCTGAAGGATGTAAAAAGGAACTGAGAATCTCCAGAACGTTCTCCAGACATTAAGCCTTTGTTCTGGTATGAGGAGAACCCCAAAGTAGCCGTTCATCTTGCCATGATGTTGTTTTTGTTTTTTAATTTCTGTCTGTCTTTCTACATTGTACCTGCCAGTGCTTGGAGTGCTTCTCACCTGGATTGTGTTCCTACTCTTCAAAGAAATGATCCATTGAACTGGGTACTAGTGGCTCTCTCCTGTCATCCAAGATGTGAAAATTGTGGTTCAAAGTCTGTGAGACTCTGATCTCCAATGAACCATCCCAAAAGAAAAAGCTAGATGTGAAGGTGTGGCAGTAGAGCTTTTGCTAGTTTTTTAAATTTATTTTTATTGTGGGTTGTGGAAGGCCTGGGCGCTGTCCCTGAGCTCTTTTGCTCAAGGCTAGAGTTCTACCATTTAGAAAGAAAGCTCTACTTCCAGTTTTCTGGTGATTAGTTGGAGATAAAAGTCTCACAGACTTTCCTGCCCAGACTGGCTTCAAACTGTGATCCTCAGATCTCAGCCTCCTGAGTAGCTAGGATGACCAGCATGAGTCAACAGCATCTGGCTTAGTGGTTGTACTTTAGCTCAGTTTCCAAGTCTGCCTATGCATTTTTTTTTTTTTTTTTGCTGGTCATGGGGCCTGAACTCTGGGCCTGGGCGCTGTCCCTCAGCTCTTCAGCTCAAGGCTAGTAGCGCTCTACCACTGGAGCCACAGCGCCACTTCTGGCTTTTTCTATGTATGTGGTGCTGAGGAATCGAACCCAGGGCCTCATGCTTGCAAGGCAAGCACTCTACCACTGAGCCACCTTCCCAGCCCCTGCATTTTGTTTCTTTCTCCCTTCCTTTCTTTCTTTTTCTTTAAAAATTAATTCCATTTATTTTTTTATTAGGTGATGCTGAGAAATTGAACCCAGGGCCTCATGCATGCTAGGCAAGCGCTCTTCCCAGCCCTCTTTCTTTCTTTTCTCCCTTTCTTTCTTCCTTCCTTTCTTTCTTTTTCTCCCATCTTTCTTTCTTTTCTCTTTCTTTCTTTCTTTCTTTCTTTCTTTCTTTCTTTCTTTCCTTCCTTTCTTTCTTTCTCTTCTTTCCCTTCCTCTCTCCCTCCCTTCTTCCTTCCTTCCTTTCTTTCTTCCTTCCTTCCTCCCTCCTTCCCTTCTTCCTTCCTTCCTTCCCTCCTCCCTCCCTCTCTCCCTTTCTCCCTCCCTCCTTCCCTCCTTCCTTCCTTCCTTCCTCCCTCTCTTTTCATATATTTCTCCCAGTGCAGCGGATGTAATCAACAGAGCATGTTGCGTCACCGCCCCGCGTCTTACCCCCCCCTGCCCCCAGGCCACACACAGACCCACTGTCAACCTTAAGTGGGTCACAGCACTTAACAGGATATTACCTAAGACTCCCCTGGGGCCCCAGATTGGTTGCCTATTGACCTAAGATCAAGGACAAAGAGGTGTTAAATCTTCTGCCTTTCGAAGGAAACCACACTTTGGGGTCAGACACCTCCCTTTGGAGGTGTCAGAGGTGACAGAATCCATCCTGTGTTCCCCCCAACAGCTCAGCTCCTCCTGCTACAAGTCTTTCCCAGTGAAAGGTGCGTGGATGGGGAACCAATCAAGGGAGGGCTTGCCAAAAGGAAGTCCCACCTCCCTGCTCCAGTAGGATTCCCACAGAGAGGGCCGGCCAGGTGTAGCATTGGAAAGGGAGGTTGGGGGTGTGTGTGTGGTGGGGGGGGAAGATGGCTAATGTGGTTATCACAAGAGAGCACTGGTTGCAGGTGACGTGTGAGATCTTGCTGCTGGGAGGGGGTGCAAGGTGACCCCAATGTTCAGGAAATGAAAAGCTGGAAGAAATCTAGTTGAAGAGCAATGGCACAGGCTTGCAAGGTGGTAGAAAGCAGTCTCAGCAGCTCTGGGCCCCTCTGGCAGGGAGAACAACATGAAGCTCTTCCTTCTGGGGCGTCCTGATCAACACAGAGAAAGATACAGGCTCCCCTTTCCCCGCCCTCTCCTCTTCTCCCCAGTACCAGCGCATGCCCAGAAGTGGAGGAGACACAGAATCTCCAGGAGCGAGAACAGGAAAGTCAAGGGCTGGAGGCCCCAGAGTAGAGCAGGCAGACCACATTCCTCTTTGCAGCAGAACCTTCCAGAACCCAGTCCTCTAAAAACCCTACTGAAATGAAGACAAATAAAATCATTTCATACTGGGAATGGATTACATTGGGAAATGCATGTGTGCATGTGTGTGTATTATATGCATATATGAAATGGTACAAAATAAGACTTTCTCTGGGTATATGTGGGCCCTGCAGCTTGAACTCAGGGCCTGGGCCCTGTCCCTGAGCTTTTTTACTCAAGGTTGAGCCACTTGAGCCACAGCGCCACTTGTGGTTTTCTGGTGGTTCATTGGAGATCAGAGTCTCACAGACTTTCATGCCCAGGCTGGCTTTGAACCACAATTCTCAGATCTCAACCTTCTGAGTAGCTAGGATGACAGGCGTGAGCCACCGGCACCTGGCACATTAGAAATATATGTGTGTGTGTGTATATATAGGATGATAAGGGTGAGACACTGTGACTGAGCTGGCAGTCTACTTTGAACTCAGGGCCGTGGCTACCGATGTCTTCTCAGCCATCGGGGCGCAGGGCTGAGGGGTGGGAGCTGGGAGGGTCTGGTGGGCGGCAGCGTGGTCTCTCTGATGCCCTGCTTTGATGTGATTTGCGATCAGCTCCTTGGGCAGGACAAGGAGCGTGATGTAGAGGCCAAGTGCACACGTCAACCTCAAGGGTAGGTGTGTGTCGGGCGGTACGTGTAAAATTGTGAGCAAAATAGCCAGCTACCCTGTGACATCACAGATCTTATTTCTAACACACGAGCTGGGACCGCGGATTATTTTCCCAATCATAAGTGTTGTAGAAACAATATTTACGTCGCCTCAAAACAAGAGTGAAGATGCTTGGAGGTGACATTCTTTCTGAGCCTCTAGCTTTTTTTCTAGAACCTTCTGTGGCCCTAAGGACCTTCTGGGATCACCCTTCCAACTCCCAAGTCTCCTGCTCACGATTCTGGCTTTCTGTCAGATTAGAGACACCATTGTCTGTCAACCTAGCTACTTAGGAGGCTGAGATCTGAGGATTGTGGCTCAAAGCCAGCCTGGGCAGATAAATCCATGAGATGTTCATGTCCAATGAACAACCAGAAAGTCAGAAGTGGAGCTATGGTTCAAGTGGTAAAGCACTAGCCTTGAGTGGAAAAACTAAGGGACAGCGCCCATGGTGGCCCTGAATTCAAACCCCAGTATTGTTCCCTCCAGCCCCCACCAAAAGAATGTTCTTTACTAACAAAAAGTCTTGGTGTTGTTGGTGGTGATTGTGGGGCTTGAACTCAGGGCCTGGGCGCTGTCCCTGAGCTCTTCAGCTCAAGGCAAGCACTCTACCACTTGAGCCACAGCGCCACATCAGGTTTTCTGGTGGTTTATTGGACATAAGAGTCTCACCGACTTTCCTGCCTGGGCTGGCTTTGAACAGAGATCCTCAGATCTCAGCCTCCTGAGTAGCTAGGATTATAGGTATGTGTTACCAGTGCTGGGCATGAGGCTTAAAAATACACACACACACACACACACACACACACACACACACATTTCCTTTAAAAAAAGATAAAGAAAATTGCTACTTTTTATTCATTTATTTATGTGTATATTGTGTATGTGTGTGTGTGTGTGTGTGTGTGTGTGTGTATGTACATGCCAATCCTGGGTTTTGTCCCTGGGCAATGTCCCTGAGCTTTTTTTTTTTTCTTTTTTGCTGGTTCATTAGAGATAAGCAGTCTCCCAGACTTTCCTTCCACAGGACTGGCCTTCACCTGCAATCCTCAGATCTCGGCCTCCACGAGTAGCTGAGGATGGACAGGCGTGAGTCATCTTCATTTTTACAAACCTGCAGACACTTCCTGCTCCGCGGTAGAAGGGGTATAGGCCGAGCTCGCTCGATCGGCTGCCTCACGGTAGAACACCGGGCACTGTTTGCAGAGACGTTTGGCAATGTGTCTTCGGAAGAAGGTGATCAGATACCTCCGGAACTTCTCCCCGACGAAGGCGTAGATAATGGGATTGATGCAACAGTGGGTCATGCCCAGCGTCTCGGTCACCTGCATGGCTTGGTCTAGGTGACTGGCCGACTTGCAGTTACTCAGGCCGAAGAATTCCTGGAAAGTGGTCAGGAGCAGGACGAGGTTATAGGGAGCCCAGAAGAGGAAGTAGACGATCATGATGACAAAAATGAGCCTCACGGCCCTGTGTCTCTTCTTCTCATTCCGACACCGGAGCAGGGTGTGCAGGATGCTGGAGTAGCAGATCACCATGACCAGCAGGGGTAAGATCAGACTCAGGATGTTCCTCAGGATGGTGTGGAAGTTCTTCCATGCTATTGGGAAATACGGGCCGCAGGTGTCACCGGTCTCTTCCTTCTGGGATTTCGTGAAGCTGATCCCAGGCAGAGAAGCCAACAAGACAAGGATCCATGTCACCGCGCTGGTGGCCACCCCGAAGGTGACCGTCCTTGCTTTTAAAGCCAACACAGCGTGGACGATGGCTAAATACCGATCGATGGTGAGGAGGATGATGAAGAAGATGCCCCCGAAGTAACCAGCGTAGTACATCCCTGTGAGGAACTTACAGAGGACACCCCCAAAGATCCACGGGTTGGAGGCGTAGTGAGCCCAAAAAGGTAGCGTGAGGAGGAAGAGGAGGTCGGAGACGGCCAAGTTGAGCAGGTAAATGTCCGTCATGCTCCGAAGCTTCTTGCAGTAGATCAGGGTGAGGACCACCAGGGTGTTACCCACGAACCCGCACACGAACACCAGGGAGTAGAGAGGAGGGAGGAGCTGAGCTCCGATCTGCCTCACGTGGACTTTGTCACAAGGTTCGCCATAGTCGTAGTCATAGGCAGTGGTGGCTTCTTGAAGGTTCTCGGTGACATTTCTTGTCAAAGGAAGCATCTCGGAGGACATGTTGGAAGCCATGTGCTCATCCATTGTTCTTTTCTTTCTCTCTTGGGCCTTCTGTGGGCAGAAAGCAATAATAATAATGATAATGATGATGATGATGACATTACCACCACCCCCATAAACAGCATCCTAAAGTTTGGGGTGCTGTCCCTTCCCACCATAACATTTTCCCCTTTGATTCCCTAGTGAGGGCCAATATTAGTTATTCTACAGTTAAAAACCCACGTCTAGGGCTGGGAAGGTGGCTCACTGGTGGAATTGCTTGCCTTGCATGCATGAGGCCCTGGGTTCGATTCCTCAGCACCACCTAAGCAGAAAAAGCCAGAAGTGGAGCCGTGGCTCAAGTGGTAGAGCTCTTGCTTTGAGCTGAATCGCTGAAGGACAGCGATCAAGCCCTGAGTTCAAGCCCCACGACTGACCCCACCCCAAAAAATGCATGTCTACCTCTTCTGCTGATTGTGTGTGGGTCTGTGACTCATTCCTAGAAAATAAAACCACAACCTACTTGGGGGAGGGGTTTCTACAAGGTTCTTCCTGTATAAGAGACACACACGGGAAAAATCCTGCCTTACCTCTTCTACCTTTGCAAATTATCTTTTTTTTGGGGGGGTGGAGGAGGAATCAGCCACAGGGCTTGAACTCAGGGCCTGGGTGCTGTCCCTGAACTCCTTTTGCTCAAGACTAACATTCTACCACTTTAAGCCACTTCTGGTTTTCTGGTGGTGAATTGAAGGTAAGAATCTCATTGGCTTTCCTGCCTAGGTTGGCTTTGAATCGAGATCCTCAGATCTCAGCCTCCTGGGTAGCTGGGATAGCAGCTGTGAGCCACTGGTGTTCAGCTACAGATTATCTTGTGTAGGGTTGGTGTTTGATCATGAATGAAAGACACAGAAAAAATTAGACAAAAGCCCTAGCAAGTCACAAACCAACCTTTGAACTTCTCCTCTTCTGGCTTATTATTTGAGAAAATGGGTTTAAAAAAAAAAGCTATTGTGAATCACCTCTTCTGTTAACTTGCAGCCCAAAACATTCTTAAAAGTGACCCTCCAAAAAACCCCACGCTTTCTTTGGCCATCCTGGATTTCTCTACGTCCAGGCTGCAGTAACACACGGTTACAACAATATTTCAGTGTCTCAGCTTTGAGCTGATATATATATATATATTTTTTTTCATTCTCATTGAGTGTTTGATTTCCTGCCAACTTCCTCTACTTTCAACTCTTTGAGGGTTTGCAAGAGGAAGCTCCCATCTGAAGTGCTTCTTAGAATATTCTTTTTTGGCACTTACTTCTTCCCATTGTCCAGTCCCTAAGAGGCCTCAGGCCTTGGACTCAACTTTCACCTTTTCCACCTTTTCTTTCCTTCCTTCCTTCCTTCCTTCCTTCCTTCCCTTTCTCTTTCTTTCTTTCCTTCTTTCTTCCTTCCTTTCCTCCTTCCTTCCTTTCCTACTTCCTTCCTTTCTTCTTTCCTCCCTGTCTATCTTTCTTTCTGTCTTCCTTCTTTCCTTGCTTTCTTACTTTGTGTGTGCCAATACTAGTAGAGTTTGAACTCAGGGCCTGGGCACTGTCCCTGAGCTTCTTTTTGCTCAAGGCTAGCGCTCTACCACTTGAGCCACAGCACCACTTCTGGCTTTTTTTGTAGTAGTAGTAGTACTACTACTAGTAGTTAAGAAGCTCACAGACTTCGCTGCTTTGGCTGGCTTCGAACAGCAGTCCTCAGCTCTCAGCCTCTCGAGTAGCTAGGATTACAGGCATGAACCACAGGCACCCTAGCCCAGCCCTTTTCCTTTCTTTTCTTTCTTTCTTTTAACCTCTTTATTCTTGCTTCCAAATGCTTCCAGAATTGTGTCAGGTAATCCCAGGGTTTTGCTGACAGCCCTGCCTGCCCCCAGCCAACTCAAAGCTCAGGCTTCAAGATGCACCTTTCTCCTAAACCTGAGAGGAAGTTTCCATTGTCCAGTAAATATCTCTCCAAATCCACGCCGGCAGTATTTATCGGGTACCTACTAGGATGCTGTCCTTGCTTGTGGATACTAGGGATAAAGCTGGGAACAGAATGACTTCCATGAAGCTACCACCAGCCCAGTCCACCTCCATCTGAGCACCCCGAGAAGCTAGCTCCAGTTTGTGCTTACCGTATTGCTTACGAAGCAGAATTGGGTCTTACTCCGAAGCCCTTCCTCTTCCGGAAATCAAGAGCTACACTACAGAGCCAAAGGGGCCTGGGTTCAAATCCTGCCTCCAAACGTTGGAGACCCATTACTTTTTTCCAAGTATCTGCATTGGTGTGTGTGTGTGTTTGAGTGTACGATATTCATTACGCCAGGCGCTGGTGGCTCACACCTGTCATCCTAGCTACTCAGGAAACGGAGATCTGAAGATCACAGTTTAAAAATCAGCCGGGATAGAAGACTCTGATCTCCAACAACACCACAAAAAAAGGCAGACTTAACCGCGTGGCTCAGGTGGAAGAATGCCAGTTCCAAGTAAAAAAGTTCAGCGCTCAGGCACTGAATTCAAGTTGCTATACCAACATGTAAAAAGGCAAAACAAAACAAAAAACCTACCTAGGCTGCATAATGAAAAGGAAATTGTCTAGAATAAACCACCGTTACCACCACCACCACAATAATAATAGTAATACTTCCATTATTTCCTTGGTGCCTTTTTTTTTTGCCAGTCCTGGGGCTTGAACTCAGGGCCTGGGCACTGTCCTCAAGCTAACATTCTACCACTTGAGCCACAGAGCCTCCTGTGGCTTTTTCTGTGTGTGTGTGGCACTGAGGAATCGAACCCAGGGCTTCATGCATGCTAGGCGAGCACTCTACCACTGAGCCACCTTCCCAGCCTTCCTCGGTGCTTTTCAACTGCCTATTTCTTGTCTCAGTTGCTCGTGGGTGGTGGGTGGGAGGAGGGGGCTTGCTCTTGCCTTTGCTCCCTCTCCACCTACTTTTTCCAAAAGTTGAAATTAAATTGGCTTTGGGGTGGGGGGGTGGGGGTAAAAGGACCTCAGAGATACCGGCAGGTCTGCTCACCATGGCTTTGTTTAATTCCCTTTTCTACTCTTGGTCTTCAGTGATTTCATATACCTTTAACCACCTTCTCTCCATTTCACCCCCAACTCTCCATTTCCTTCAAGCTTCAGTGATTTTCTATGTACTTGGCCCTTCATCTATAATAGCTGGTGGGCTCCTACTCATCCTGCAATACCTCCTGCTCAAATGCCCCTTCTGTAAGAAACCTGATCTTCATCCTTGTACCTAAATTCTCTGGTCTCCTAACTTCTCTTATATCTGAACCAGCAACTGGCCACGCTGGTTGCTCTGAGACCAAGTTCTGGTCATATCACCAGATCTTGGTAAATAGATCTAACACCAAAAATTAAAAAAAAGGTACTAATTAGTAGCCAAACACCACCAGTGGCTCACACCTGTCATCCTAGTGACTCAGGGGACTGTGATCTGAGGCTCACAGTTCAAAGTCAACCTGAGCAGGAAAGTCTGTGAGACTCGTCTGTCCAATGAACCACCAAAAAAGCCAGAAGAGGAGCTGCGGCTGAAAGTGGTAGAGCAGACAAAGGTCAGGGACAGTGTCTAGGCCCTGAGTTCAAGCCCCAGGACCAGCACAATGCATTGGTTTTTCTATAGCAATCTCTGCATTTCCAGCTAGGAGATGCTTGAAGCTTGTGATTCATAAAGTGACAGAAAACAAAACACACACACACACAACCCCCCCCCCAAAACCAAAACCCCACTCACCAATGGCTGCCCTCCTCCAGGTGATACCGTCCTTCAGACTTGTCATCAACTGAAGCAGCTAGATACGGAGGTAGAAACTTAGGGGTGCAGAAGTAGGAAATAAAGTTTCCTGCAAAAAGAGAAGGCGGAGATAGCAGAGCAAGTAATGGTAAAGAAGAAGAAGGAAAAAAAAAACACCAAAAAACAACAGTTTCTTCTTCTTCTTTTTTTGGGTCCTGCCAAAAACGTGTTAGGTTAGCTACAAAAGGGGTGATTTTGCAATCTGGATTGTGTAAATTTAAGGATGAGTCAGACGGCTCCAATTTCTTGGCTCCTGTATCTATGATTTTTTTTGGGGGGGGGAGGGAGTAGGAGGACGGGGTGGGGATTCGGGGGGATTCTGATGTCCTTCTATTTTCTGCCATCCTCTCTGAGGTGGTGTGCATAACCTTAAAATCTGAATCTATAATTTCCTAGAAGAGAAAGGTTGTCAGGGTTGTTGGTGATGGGGGAGAAAATGCAGCAAGAGATTATTGTAATGGGATTCAGCAGCCTAGGGGTGTGTGTGTGTGTGTGTGTGTGTGTGTGTGTGTGTGTGTGCGCGCATGTGCTTGAGCTCAGGGAGAAGACATTGTCCCCAAGCTTTTCTTTCCTGCCTAGGTTGCTTTTGAACCGCCATCCTCAGATCTCAGCCTCCTGAGTAGCTAGGATGACAGGCGTGAGCCACCGGTGTCTGGTGCTCATTCTAGTGTTTGATCACACAGGCTTGCCTATCTTGGTTTACCTGGACGCGGTTGTGAATTCTGAAGCCAGGGGGGAAATTCATATTTGCTGTCTGCAGCTTGACCTTTTCTTTCCAAGAATCGTTTGCAGTGTCGGCTTTTCTCGTTCTGACTCTGCCTTGCTGTGTTATCACCGGTGTGAAAGTAGCAAGAATTACCCAGTTGCTCACACCTGTCATCCTAGCTACTCAGGAAGCTGAACTCGGATCACAATTCAAAAGCAACCCAGACAACCAGCAACCCAGAAAAGCCCTTAAGCACTCTTATTTCCAATGAGCCAGCACAAAAAGCCAGAAGTGGAGTTGGACCACAAGTGATTGAATACCAGACTTGAGCAAAAATGCTAAGCGATTGCACCCCTCGAACCTGAGTTCAAGCCCAAGCACTAGCGTGCACACACACACACACACACACACACACAGAGTAAAAAAAAATCCTTTTTCTTCCCCAGGCTGGTCTTGAACTTGTGACCCTACTGCCTCTGGTAGTAGCAGAGATCCTTTCTGTTATTTATTTGTTTGTTTATTATTTGGTTGATCATGGGGTTTGAACTCTGGCCTGGGCGCTGTCCTTGTGCTCTTCAGCTCAAAGTGAGCACTCTACTACTTGAGCCACAACACCACTTCCGGTTTTCTGGTGGTTCATTGGAGAGAAGAGTCTCACAGGCTTACCTACTTGGGCTAGCTTTGAACCGCGGTCCCCAGATCTCAGCTTCCTGAGTAGCTAGGATGACAGGCGCAAGCCACTGGCGCCCGGCTCTTTCTGTCATTTATTTAGTTATTTATATTGTGAAGCCAAGACCACAGCAAGTAAGATTGCCTTTTTATGTATGATTTCATCCAGACCAAGTTGATCCAAACTTGAAGGTTTTCTAGAATCCTAGAACTCGCCGCTCTAGTTTAGTAGGCCACAGGAAGCTGATAGAAACCACAGTGAACCCAGAAGCATCTGTGAAATGGTTGGGAGGAAGAATTTTTGTTACCTGAGCAACTTCATTACTGAAAACAGAGCCGGGGAGGGGGGTGGGGAGAGAATTATCTTTAGGTCACTAAAAACTCTTTCTGTCTTCTTGTCCCACGGATAATTCTTTCCACCCTGTTTCCCACCCTCCTGCCCCCCACGTTTTTAGTTGGATGAGACTTATCTTCCACCCATAGCACAGACACAGGTGCTGAGAGCAAATTGAACTTTCGGTTTGAATGATGTTAACCCTCTTCCCCAACAGAAGTCCAATGAATAAAATCCTCCCAAAGTCACACGTGAGATTTTAACCTGCAGCGTTAACCAGAGTTGATTTTTTTTGGGGGGGGTGGGGTGGGTCGGTCCTGGGACTTGAACTCAGTGCCTGGGCCCTGTCTCTGAACTTTTATGCTCAAGGTGAGTGGTCTATGGCTTTGAGCCACAGCACCACTTCTGGTTTTCTGGTGATTCTTTGGAGATCAGAGTCTCATGGACTTTCCCGCTCAGGCTGGCTTTGAACCGTGATCCTTAGATATCAGCCTCTCAAGTAGCTAAGATTACAGACATGAGCCACCAGTGCCCAGAATATTTTCTGATTTTATTTTACTTTGCAAGTTCTGAGGCTTGAACTCGGGGCCTAGGCACTGTCCCAGGGCCACTTCCAGCTTTTTCTGTGTATGTGGTACTAAGGAATCCAACCCAGGGATTCATGCATGCTAGGCAAGCACCCTACCACAAAGCCACATTCCCAACCCTACTTTCTGATTTTAAAACATACTAAATGTATATAGTCATCAAAACAGTATGGAACTAAAAACTATGGAACTTGTATAGACATATAAGTCAATGGAATGGAATAGCTTCAAACCACAATCCTCAGATCTCAGCTTCTTGCATCGAGAAATAAACCTGAACATTTATTATGAGTTAATTTTCAACAAGCATGCCAAGACTTTGGAATAGGGGAAAGAAAGAATCCTTTGCAACAAATTGTGGTGAAAGTAACAGGATGTCCACAGGTTAAGAGCAATGATCATGTCGCCTACAAAGATTAGCTAAAAATGGATCCGTGATCCAAATATAAGAGCTGAAATGATAAAACTCTTAGAAGAAAATATGAAAGCAAAACCAGGTACCAGTGGCTCGTGCTTATAATCCTAGATACTCAGGGAGGCTGAGATCTGAGGATTGTGGTTCAAAGCCAGCCTGGGCAGGAAAGTCTGTGAGGTTCTTATCTCTGATAAACTACCAAAAAAAACACTGGAGTCGTGGCTTAAGGGGTAGAGCGCTAGCCTTGAGCAAAAGAAGCTCAGAGACAACATTGAGGCCCTGAGTTCAAGACCCAGGACTGGTATCCCCAAAATAAAAATAAAATAAAGGCAAATCCTTATAGCTTTTTTTTTTTTTTTTGTCAGTCAGGGGGCTTCAACTCTGGGCCTGGGCGCTGTCCTTCAGCTCTTCAGCTCAAGGCTAGCGCTCTACCACTAGAGCCACTGCACCACTTCTGGGTTTTTCTGCTTATGTGGTGCTGAGGAATCAAATCCAGGGCCTCATGCATGCAAGGCAAGCAATCTACCCCTGAGCCACCTTCCCAGCCTCTCCTTACGGCTTTTGATTTGTCTATTAACTCTTAGATATGACACCAAATGCATAGGAAACCAATGGGTGGGAAAATGATAAATCATACTTTAAGTTAAAAAAAAATCTTTCCTGCACAAAAAGGACATTATCAAGAAAGTGAAAAAAATCTATAGAATGAGACAAAATATTTGCAAATTTTGCATCTGATAAAGGCATACTATCCAGAATATGTAGAGAATATTGATATCTCAACACCAAAGGCAAATAAAAATGGGCAAGGCAGGCTGGGCAGGGTAGTTCATTCCTACCATCCCAGCTATTGTGATGTAACTGGAGCAGTTCTCTTTCTCAGATCTGTTTCTCTTGTACTATGTCCCTTTTTTTCTTTTATTTGCTTTTCTTTTCTTTTTCCTTTATTTTTGTGCCAGTCTTGGGCTTGAACTGAGGGCCTGGACACTGTCCCTGAGCTTTTGTGCTCCAGGTTAGCGCTCTATCATTTGGGCCTCAGTGCCGCTTTCAAGGTTTGGTTTTGTTTTCGGTGTTTCATTGGAGATGAAGTTCTCAAGGACTTTTCTACCCAGGCTGGCTTTGAACGATGATCCTCAGATCTCAGCCTGCAGAGTAGCTAGGTTAACAGGCATGAGCCACCGGCCCCGGGCTTCATCTTTCTTGATGAGTATTTAGGGAAGAGAAGGCAGACTATGAATTTCTTTTGTAAGATGATCCAATTTCCATTCCTCTTTTTGTGTGTGTGTGTGTGTGTGTCTTTTTTTTTAAATATAGTAACCATAATTTTACGTTCCTCTTTTGGTTTCTTACTCTTGAACCTTGACTCTTCTAGTTCTTTCAGTTCCGTCTCCTGAATTTTTAGAACAACTTGGTATCTTCCAACAGAAATGGCAAGTGTACGCTTTGCCTGGCTCTTTTAAGAGCAGTGCCTAAGAATTAAGAGCCTTTGAGGCAAGAGACAAGATAAATTCCGAAGTGCTTTTTTCTTCCTTTCAACATGTGTGGTGGAAAGTGTTGGGTTTTAGCTCTGGATTGAGGCTAGAAGGTTTTGTGTGTGTGTGTGTGTGTGTGTGTTGTGTTGTGTTGTTTTGTTTTGTTTTCCATTGTGAGGCTTGAACTCAGGCCCTGGGTGCTGTCCCTGAGCTTCTTTTGCTCAAGGCTAGTGCTCTACCACTTGAGCCACAGCACCACTGCCAGTTTTTGAATAGTTCACTGGTGATGAGTCTCAGAGAAGCCAGGTGCCAATGGCTTACACCTGTCATCCTAGCTTCTCAGGAGACTGAGATCTGAGATCATAGTTCAAAGCCAGCCAGGGCAGAAAAGTTCATGTGACTCATCTCCAATAAACTAGTAGGCCCTGAATTCAAGCCCCAGGACCAGCAAAAAAAAAAAAAAGTGGGGGGCAGGGAAGGTGGCTTAGTGGTAGAGTGCTTGCCTAGCATGCTTGGTTCAATTCCTCAGTATCACATGCACAGAAAAATCTGGAAGTGGTGCTGTGATTCCAGTGGTAGAGCTCCAGCGTTGAGCAAAAGAAGCTCAGGGACAGTGCCCAGGCCCTGAATTCAAGTCCCAGGACTGGCAAAAATAAAAAAAGTCACATGGACTTTCCTGCCTAGGCTGGCTTTGAACCACGATCCTCAGCTCTCAGCCTCCTGAGTAGCTGGGATGACAGGCGTGAGCCACCGGTGCCTGGCAAGGCTAAAATTTTAATTTGGAAGTCATTTGGTGCCATAATTATTCCATAATGGCAAGGTTTATCAACCTATATCCTTATTCATTTGTTTATC